GTGCAGGTGGGGGGCAGACGTCCACCTCTGGGTGCCCTGGTGCAGGTGGGGGGGGCAGACGTCCACCTCTGGGTGCAGGTGGGGGGCAGATGTCCACCTCGGTGCCCTGGTGCAGGTGGGGGGGCAGACACCCACCTCTGGGTGCCCTGGGTGCGGGGGGCGCAGGCAGGCGGGACCCCATGGTGGCTGACGTGCCTGTGCCTCCAGGTACGCCGTGAGCCCCTCCCTGTGGGGGTGGGGGCCGGCGAGCTGACCTCGCTGTGCTTTGGTGCCCCACCCCTGCTCTTCTGCGGCTCTAACGCGGGTCAGGTGTACGTCTGGGACACACGCTCCAGGAGGTGCTTCCTGGCCTGGGAGGCTGATGACGGCGAGATTGGTGGGTGCACGCAGCCCTGCGTTGGGCCTGGGTCCCGTGGTGGGCGTCAGGGCAGGCGCTGACTGCCCCCACCCCTAGGGGTGCTGTTGTGCTCGGGGGCACGTCTGGTCAGCGGCAGCAACACGCGAAGACTGCGCCTGTGGGCTGTGGGGGCCGTGCCGGAGCTGAGGCTGAAGGGCTTGGGGGCCAGGTGAGTGCTGGGGAGCCCCGGCCTGGAGGGAGGTGTCTGGCACCCAAGCCCACGGCCGCCCATGCGCCTTCCCGGCCGCCTGCCCCAGGTCTGGCGCCGTCCTCCTGGAGCGTGAACTGATGCTGGATGGGGCCATTGTGAGTGCCGCCTTCGATGACCAGCTGAGTATGGGCATCGCGGGCACCACCGCAGGCACGCTCTGGTACGTCAGCTGGGCCCAGGGGACCAGCACCCGCCTCGTCAGTGGCCACAGGAACAAGGTGCGACCCCCCAGGTCGGCCCCAACACCTCTACTTGTGGGGGGAGCACAGTCCCCCACTCCTAGGCTGACAGCAGAGCCCTTCTCTCTACCTTGGTGTGCAGCCCACTGAGGGTGGGAGGCTGTGTTCTGGATCCTGTCACAGGAGTCCGGTAGCCGTCCCTGAGGGCCAGTTGGGCTGCCCTGGCTTCGGTCTGTGGCCCTGCCGAAAGCTGGCAGATGCCAAGGTTCAGGACCGTACTGTAGGGCCCTGAGGATGGGAAAGGCTTGGGGCCCCCAAAGGGCTGTTTCCCTCAGCCGGCTGCATCCCCCAGGTGAACGAAGTGGCCTTCAGCCCTGACGAGGCGCGCTGTGCCACCTGTGCTGAGGACGGGAGCGTGCGGGTCTGGTCCGTGGCCAGCATGGAGCTGGTGATCCAGTTCCAGGTATTGAGCCAGGTGCGTGGGGCCCCAGGGCTGGCCTGCAGGTGCTCGGGTGGGCCGTCTGCCTGCTGAGGGGCTCAGCGGGTGTGACACTGGCCCCACACATCCCTAGAGCTGTCTCTGCCTGGCGTGGAGTCCCCCCTCCCGCAGACACCTGGGGCCCCAGCGTCTGGTGGCTGGCTATAGCGACGGCACCCTGAGAATCTTCAGTGTCTCCCGCACGGAGATGGAGATCAAGATGCGCCCCCACCCATCTGCACTGACAGCCGTGGCCTTCACCGCCGACGGTGAGGTTGGGTGGGCCACGGGCGGCCTGAGGGGACAGTTGCGTGGGCTCAAAGCATGTAGGGGCTGAGTGCAGGGTCCAAGCCAGGCCTGGGATGTGTAGGGAGACTTTGTGCCCCTGCTCCACCCAGGTCAGATTGTTCTCTCCGGGGACAAGAATGGGCTGGTGGCTGTGAGCCGACCCCAAACAGGGATGACTGTCCGTGTGGTGAGAGATCACCAGGGTGCCCCAATTTCCGCCATCCAGTGCAGAAGCAAGGAGGTGAACTGCCTGGGGGCAGGGGGACCGAGGGGGTGCAGCAGGGCATGTGGGGGGCAAGAGACACCCACCAACCCCCGGGCTTCCCAGCATGGAGACTTTGGGGGTACAGTGGGGGACGTGGGGGGCAGGAGACACCCACCAGCCCCCGGGCTTCCCAGCATGGAGACTTTGGGGGTACAGTGGGGGACGCGGGGGGCAGGAGACACCCACCAGCCCCCGGCCTTCCCAGCACGGAGACTTTGGAGTGCCAGGTACAGAGCTGTGGCTGGCTGCCAGCGGAGACCAGCGGGTCAGCGTCTGGGCGGCCGACTGGCTGGAGGACCGCTGTGAGCTGGTGGGCTGGCTGAGCTTCCCGGCTCCGGCACTCACTGACGTAAGGGGAGGGGGCTGGCACACGGGGGGTGCGGGCTGCAGTCTGGCCCGCCCCACCAGCAACAGCTTCTGCATCCTGTAGCCACCTGGCCACTTGCCTCCCTCCCTCGCTGCCTTCTGTCCCTGGGACAGTGACCTGCTGGTGTGCGCCGGCCTCGGCCCGCGGAAGGAGCTGCTTCTGTACAGCCTCCACCAGAAGCAGGTACCGGCTGAGGGACACGGGGTGCCAGCGGGCAGGGGCCAGGGCTCACCGGTCACCGCCAGCAAGGGGAGGGGGCCGGGGCTTACTGTCACTGCTGGCAGGTCGTGGAGACGGTCCCACTGCCCCTCTTCGCCTTGTCCCTGAGCCTGTCCGTGGGAGCCCGCCTTGTGGCTGTTGGCTTCACTGGTGAGTGCCCTGCCCCAAGTGGCCAAGGGCTGTCCTCTCCCCAGGCCCCTCCCGTGGTACTGGGGTTTGGGAGGACCACCTCACCCCTGTACTTTCACGTTAAAGTGTGATGAACACCCTGCCCTGAGTGGGTGGGGGATGGGAGGTGAGGACCCTGTCCTGGGCAGATGGGAGTTTGAGGGGTGAGGACACTTCCCTGGGTCGTGGGGGGCTAGGACACTACCCTGGGTGGGGTTGAGGGGATGGGGGGGTGAGACCCTTGCCTTGGGCTGGTGGGGGATGGGGGGTTAGGACATTGCCCTAGGCCAGTGGGGAGTTGGGGGGAGGTCAGGCCGGGTGGCCCTCACCCGGGCTGCACCGCGCTGAGGCCTGCCTTGCCGACAGAGCGCTTGCTAAGGCTGGTGGACTTCGCATCTGGGAGTGCGCAGGACTTCGCCGGCCACGACGACTCAGTGCATCTGTGCCGGTTCTCCCCGTCCACGAGGCTGCTGCTCACGGTGGCCCACAACGAGGTCCTGCTGTGGGAGGTCTCGGCCGCCCAAGGGGCAGGGACCACTGTGCCTGGCGCCCAGGAGGTCTCCCCAGTACCTGTTGGAACAGCTGGGCCTCCTGCTGGCCACAGAGCCTGCAGTCGCCAGTGAAGTGGCCCGCCACGCTGGCCAGCTCAGGCCTCTGCTCAGGCAGCTGCTGAGAACTTGGGGCCTGGACACTGGAAAGGCTGCTCTCACCGGTTCCATCCAGCGTTTCCACCTTGTACCGTGTAAATAAACGTGGGCCTCGCCCTGGCCACCAGCCTGCTGAGTCAGCTGCTTGCTCCCGACTGCCCTGGGCCTGGCGTTCCCCCAGCCCCGCTGCTTGTCGAGCTCTGGTGCTGCGGTGGTGCCTAAGTCATTTGGCTGCTAACCAGAAGGTTGGCACTTCAAGGAGCGGGCCCTGGCAGCCTCAGTGCCGAAGGCCCACCGCCCAGGTCCCTGCAGCTGCCTCTAGGCTTCAGGACCGGACCAACACCTGGTTACTGAGGGCTCCGCCCCTTGGCCACCCAGAGAGTAGACGCCTGCAGTGCGCCGTGCGCCCGCACGGTGGCGGTGCCGCGCGTACCCGCCGCTCTGGCCCGCCCCGCTCGCTGGTGCGGCTTCTTGGGCTGCGAACCGGAAGTGTCGGCCCGGGGGCGGGGATCGGGTCGTGGCCGAGACATTTTGGGATCGTGGTTGTGGGGTCGGGGCCAGGCAGCAGCCATGAAGCGGGACGTCCGCATCCTACTGCTGGGCGAGGGTAGGCGCCCAGGCAGCGGGCGGGGGCCGAGGGTCTTGGAGTGGCCGCGCGCGAGTTGGGTTCGGGGGCCTCGCGGGACGCAGCCTGGACCTGCCCGGGCGCGGCGGGCGCGCGGGGCGCCGTGACCTTGGCCGCCGGCGCGCTGACCGCCCCGCCCCGCGCAGCCCAGGTGGGGAAGACGTCGCTGATCTTGTCGCTGGTGGGCGAGGAGTTCCCGGAGGAGGTGAGTGTCCGGACCCGAGGCGCACACAGGGGCCTGGCGGCCGGGCGGGTGCAGCTGGGGTCCCGGCGTGCCTGGGGCGAACGGCGGCGGCCCTAGGACCGGCCCGGGCGGGAAGGTTGTCGATGAAACCCGCTAGCGGGGTCCGTCCATCGCAGGTCCCTCCCCGGGCGGAAGAGATCACAATTCCTGCGGATGTCACCCCGGAGAAGGTGCCCACCCACATCGTGGACTACTCAGGTAACGGCCCGCCCGCACGACTTCCGGGACGGCCCCGGCGCGGTCTGCAGCGGGGCCTCTTCTTCCTGCAGAAGCCGAGCAGACGGAGGAGGAGCTGCAGGAGGAGATCCGCAAGGTGCGGGGCCGGGGTGGGCTCGGGCTCGGGGCTGACTGTCGCCCCGGCCTCGCTGGCTTGACCTCTTCCTCTTAGAGAGGTGTTCGGATTAAGAGTCCCAGCCTGGCTGCAGCCCGCTAATTCCACTGTGACCTCAGCGGGAGTCGTTGGGTCCCATGGTGCAGGATTCTGGAGCTGGAGCGCAGAGCTCCTGGAGAGGCCAGCTAGGCCGCCGGGCTCCTTGCCCCACATACACGCTTCCCCCTGGAGTTCCAGGGAATGGACCCCAACATCTTTCACAGTCACTCCTACACGGCCCTGGGGCTGTGACAGGTGTTCTGAAGGCCACGGGATCAGCTGTTTTTTTTGGCAGAGCCTGTACCCAAGCCAAGCCCCTACGAGTGAGAAGGTGGCCCCACCAGCATGGCCCTTTGTCACAGGCCGCCTGTGTCCGTTCTGAGGCCCCCGAGGGATGCACCAGCCAGGGTCATGTGCTGGGGTTGGCAGGCTGGGGAAGGTCTTGTCTGGGTTCGGGCTGCAGCTTGCCGGGCAGGGGATGCAGGTGGACAGGACCGGGAAAGAGCTGCCGTTTCTCCCCGACAGGCAAACGTGGTGTGTGTAGTGTATGATGTCTCCGAACAGGCCACCATCGAGAAGGTGAGCGAGAGTGAGCCTGCACCTCCCTGCAGACCCCCATCGCCTGGGGTACCTGCACCCCTTCTGTCGCCCAGGCAGGCACAGGGTCCAGTGGGGGCTGCCGCACTCACAGCCTGGCCTTCCTCTCAGATCAGAACCAAGTGGATCCCGCTCGTAAATGGCAGGACCGAGGAGGGCCCTAGGTAACAAGGGGGCCTCAGTGGGAACCTGGGCCATGCCACCATCGGTCCCTGCTGATGTGGGCCTCTCCACAGGGTCCCCATCATCCTGGTAGGCAACAAGTCGGACCTGCGGCCAGGGGGCTCCGTGGAGGCCGTGTTGCCCATCATGAACCAGTTCCCCGAGATTGAGACCTGTGTGGAGGTGATCAGGGCGGGCTCAGCTGGGCCCTGACTCCAGTTGCCCAGGTGGACAAGGGGTGGGGTTCTGTTGTGAAGACAGCACAGAGGTGGGGAGCTGTGGCATGCCCCATGCCCCCATGTGCGGGTGGCCCAGGCAGGGGGAGGTCCTGAAGCTGTTGTGTCCAGCACGGTGTCCCCAGGGCACCCCCAACTGGCTCTCCCTCCTAAGTGCTCGGCTAAGAACCTGAGGAACGTCTCGGAGCTGTTCTACTATGCGCAGAAGGCAGTGCTGCACCCCATGGCCCCACTGTATGACCCTACAGCCAAGCAGGTGTGGACCAGGCAGAGGGTGGGGACCAGGCAGAGGGGGACGGGTGCCCTGTGAGGAGCACATGTGCTGAGCGGTGTTCCCACAGCTGCAGCCCGCGTGCACGCAGGCCCTCACACGCATCTTCAGGCTCTCAGACCGGGACCTGGACCAGGCGCTCAGTGATGAGGAGCTCAACACGTTCCAGGTGCAGCCAGGCCTCCCCAACCCCCCCCATCCCGCTGCCCACTCTCTGCCTGGTGCCCTGCTCTGCACCCCACTCCCCACTCCGCTACACGCCTGGGGTGTGGTACTCAGCTCCCAGTGCCCAGCCTGGGCTGTGGCCAGAAGCCGCTGTTGAGCACCGTTTCTCTCGGAGACAGAAGTCCTGCTTCGGGCACCCCCTGGCCCCCCAGGCCCTGGAGGACGTGAAGACGGTGGTGAGCAGGCACGTGGCAGGTGGCGTGCGGGACAACCGGCTGACGCTGGACGGTGAGGCCAGTCTGCCTGCTGTGTGGGGGATGGGGGACAAGGCCAGGCCACCAGGCCAAGGGCCAGACTCCTGCCTCCTTGGCGCAGGTTTCCTCTTCTTGAACACCCTGTTCATCCAGCGAGGCCGCCATGAGACCACCTGGGCCATCCTGCGACGCTTCGGCTACGGTGACACACTCGAGCTCACGGATGACTACCTCTTTCCCCCGTGAGTGGGGGTGTCTCTCTCACCAGCCCACTGTCCCACTGCCTTGTCAACCCACGTGGCTCCTGGGGGTGGCTGGGCCTGCCCTGGGGGTGGCAGCTGGGCAGCTTTTGCCCTGGGAGGGTGTGTGGATCCCCACCGACTGCCCACCAGAAGGCTGGTGACTGAGGCGACTGTACCACACTGCCCCTGCTCCCCGTGGCCCCAGAGGGCTCAGCCAGGCCTCCTCAGAGTGTGGTCGCGTGCAGCAGGGAGGCCCCGTGGGCAGGCTCCTGGAAACGGGCCCTCTTCCCCAGGCTCCCAGTGCCCCCGGGCTGCACCACTGAGCTCAACCACTTGGGTTACCAGTTCTTGCAGACGGTGTTTGAGAAGCATGACCAGGTGAGGGCACCAGCGACCAGTGCTGGTCCCACAGCCCATCCCCACGTGCCCCTGTGGGGGGGTGGTGTGGACCCTCCCGCGGCCCATCCCCATGTGGCCCTGCAGGGGTGGTGTGGACCCACTCATGCAGTCTTGTTGGTCACCCCCGTTAGCCACATGTAACCCTCTCCCTAGCCCACCCCGTGTAGCCCTATTATCCCCACACGCAGCCCACTTACCCCATGCAGCCCCACTGCCCCACTACCCATCACTGCCATGTCACCACCTTGCCACCCAGGACCGCGATGGTGCCCTGTCGCCCGCGGAGCTGCAGGGGTTCTGCAGTGTGTTCCCGTCGGCTCCCTGGGGCCCTGAGCTGCCCCGCACCGTGTGTACCCTGGCTGGTGGCCAGCTGCCTCTGCACGGCTTCCTCTGCCAGTGGACGTAAGCACAGCCCTCACCACCCGCCTGCCCTCCGCCCGACACACCGCCGCCCTGCCCTAACTCCCACCCACCCGCCTCCAGCCTGGTGACCTACCTGGACGTCCGGCGCTGCCTCGGGCACCTCGGCTACCTGGGGTACCCCATCCTCTGCAAGCAGGACTCCCAGGCCCACGCCATCACAGGTGGGCACCCACCTCTCTGGGACCCTGTGCTGGCGTTCTGTGCCAGCCCCCCTCATCCCTTGCCCCCCACCCACAGTTACCCGGGCGAAGAGGCTGGACCAGGAGAAGGGCCAGACGCAGAGACATGTTCTTCTGTGTGAGGTGGTGGGGGCGCGTGGTGTGGGCAAGTCCGCTTTCCTGCAGGCCTTCCTCGGCCGGAGCATGGAGGTGAGCATCCCGCGGGACGGGGGCAGGGCGTGCTGGAGGTCAGGGCCACTGACCGTCTGCCTCCCCTTCCCTGCTCTCTCATGCTTCAGCATCCGGAGCCCCCTGAGGGATCTTCTGTCCACGCCATCAATACGGTGCACGTCACCGGGCAGGAGAAGTACCTGATCGTACGTCCAAGGCTGGGTGAGCGGGGGGGTGGGGGGTGCTGTCCCGCCCTGCTGTCCCCAGGCGCCTGTCTGAGCCCACTTGCCTTGGGCCACCCTCTGTCTGCAGCTGCGTGAGGTGGATGCAGACAGCCTGCTGGACACCGAGTCGGAGGTCACCTGTGACGTCGCCTGTCTGCTGTTTGACAGCAGGGACCCCACATCCTTTGCGTTCTGCAGTAGGGTCTACAAGGTGAGGCGGGGGACCCCCATACAGTGCTCTGTTGCCACTCCTGCAGACCACCCTCACGGCACCCCTCCCTCTACAGCAGCGTTACCTGGACAGGCAGACCCCCTGCCTGTTCGTTGCCTCCAAGGCCGACCTGCCCAGAGGCACTGTGCCGCCTGGCACACCAGCAACTGAGTTCTGCCGTCGGCACCGGCTGCCCAGCCCTGCCTTGTTCTCCTGCGCTGGCCCGGCCGCACCCAGCACTGCCATCTTCAGCCGGCTGGCCACCATGGCCACCTTCCCGTGGGTACCAGCCCCTGAAGCCTGGGGTCCTGCCGGCTGTGGGTGGTGGGCAGTGGGCTGGTAAGCTGTGGGCAGGGTGGCGCTCACCTGCTGGGTCACTCTCTGATAGCCGTGCCACAAGATGGGATGGGCTTGGCAGGACAGGCTTCGGATGAGCAGCAGGAAGCAGAGGCTGTCCAGGCCCAGCCTTAGGGGACATTGGGTGGGTGGGTGGGTGGGGTCCCAGCGGTAGTGTGGGGCTGGGGGGCAGTTGGGGGGCTAGGGGTGGGGCTGGGCAGACGCGCCAAGGCTTCTCCAGACTGCCTTTCTCCCTCTGCAGACACATGGTCCACGAGGAACTGCACGCCGCCTCTTGGCTGTGGGTGATGCTGGGGGCTGCTGGGGCGGCCCTGGCTGCCCTGCTCAGCTTCTCCCTGTACAGGGCCCTGGTAAGGAGCCGATGAGGCCAGTTGGAGGCTCTCACCCTCGTGCCTGGCTCCTCAGTCCAGCTCTGCCTCGCAGGCCTGGCCCAGGGCCTCCAGGGTACTGGCCTGGGCCCTGCTGAGGGCTTCTGCCCATGCCTGGCTGTCCTGCAGCCCCACCACACCCTGGGGCCCCTTTCCTGGTAGCCTGGTCCCTACCACCGATTAAGTTTCGTGTGTATTGGACTGGGGGCACAGGTGAGAAAGCTGGTGACCCCAGACCCAGAATTCTCAGGCACCCCCACAACCCCCGGTCCTGAGCTGGACGGTCATTTGGTGGGAGGGGTCAGAAGTAGGGGCGGGTAGGAAGTCTGCGCGGCCCCACCTTCCACTGCTCTGGCCAGGGCCCTGCTACCCCCCACTGGAGGTACATGACAGGGTTTCCGATTAAACGTCAGTTGTCTTTCCACCTCTCGGATTCCATGCCTTCCAAGCAATTTTTCTTGAATCTGCCTAAAGCTTGTTCCCTGTCCTGCCAGCGATGCACTGCCCTGGCACCTCGTCCAGCAGCCTTGGGGTGCTGCCCTGGCACCTGCCTCGACTCCCATCAGCATCATGTCTGGTTCTGCCTCCTGTCAGTGCTCCGGAGTCGTTCCTGGCTCCACTCCCTGCTCCCAGTGCCCCTCAGTCTCACCTCTGCTTCTGCGCCCTGCCCCCAGGCTTCATAGCTAAGTCTTGTGAGGTCTGGTCTGGCCTGGCCTGGTATGATCTACCCTAGCCTGGGGGTGAGAGGGCCTCAGACAGACCATGTCCCTGAAGGAATGTGGCGAGGGGCTCATAGCCTGAGGCTACCATCCACGCAGTCCACTCCAGACCCTAGCACCCAGCTGGCCTGGCTGCGCCAAGCACCCTCGTCCACTGTGCCGTCCGCGGTGCCCAGGAGCCTCCCGCCTAGTCCCCTTCTCAGTTGTGGGGAGGAGCTCACAGGGCAGGCACCTGCTGCTCCAAGTGTCTGGGGCCTGGAGGGCAGACCATCAGCTAGGCCCCTTCTCCCCAGCCTCGGTCCCATGTTCAGGGCTGGCTCGGTATACCAGTTGCCACTCCGAGCTCTGCCTCGGCAGGGCGGGGCAGGAAACTATTTCTGTCTGTATTCCCAGAGGCCGCGACAGCTGAGAGCGATGGCCCCGTGGTACCACTGCAGCAGCAGGCTGCAAATCCGAGTGACCCTCACATGTTGCTATGGTTACCTATCCCTTTGGCCTGTGTCACTCCCATTGTCTGAGGGGTGTGCCCACCCTCCCAGGAGCAGGCCCCCTCAACTATTCGGGCTGCAGACCTGCCCACCTGGGGCTCTGTCCCGTTCCCACAGGTCTGCTTGAGCACTGCATGCCCCGCCCCCTGCAGTGCCAGCTCCAGGGGCTGGAGACCCAGGTTGTCCACCAAGGCGGCCTCAGTAGTGGTCCCGACGTCCCTTGAGTGCCCAGCCCAGGTGTTCGCACTGCGGGTGGCTCTGAACGGGCAGCCACGCCGTCACCTCCCCTGCCCACCCTTGGCAGCTGGGTTTGGTGCCCACCGGGTCGGGGCTGGGACTAGGAGGACCTGGGCGCCTGTGTCTGCCTGGGTGGGCAGCAGGGGGAGCCAGTGAGAGTCGAGGGTGACACCGCCTGGGATGTGGTGAGCGACCGGTGCGGGTGGTCCAGGAAGGCTTCCCTGAGGAGGTGACGTCCGCGCTGGGGCCCGAGTCCGGACGGCTGCGCGGGAGGTCGCAGAGCCGCAGGTGCGCGCGCTGGAAGGGCTGCGGCCGGCGCCAGGTCTCGGGTGCAGATGCTGCGCGCGGCACGCGCGGTCGGTGCGCCTGGGCCCTGCTGGAGCGCAGCGGGGGCGGGAGCGTC